CACACACACACACACACACACACACACACACACACACACACACACACACACACACACACACACACACCGGTGTAGACACTGTAATCCCAGCTGCCTATACGAGCAAATATTGATTCACACGTTCTCAAATGGCTACGGGAGTCTCACAGTGTTCTGATATGATCACTGGGCTGCTGTACTGTTTCTTCGAGTCGTCACTCCACACATTCTCATTAGGTCTAAACAGTGTGAGGTGGTAACTGGTATTAAGTAAACACACTCTAGAGGTGTAGGCTTTGTGTGTGTGTAAAAAAAAGGAAATCACAATACTGTTTTAATGTGGGATTTACTTATTGTTCTCTAAGGATCTAAATTAATAGCAGTCGCAAAGTTATTCAGAATCAATTCAACACTAATGGGGGGAAATTAGTATAGGCCCCATTCAGTGTGGATAGAAAAGGAATATGTTGGATGATGTCAGAGCAGGGACACCAAACTTATTTTCCCTGAGGGCCACATGAGCTATATGGTGACCCTCAAAGAGCCACTTTTATGTAACTTTGACGCATCATGTTTAACTTCGACTAAACACAAAGCATCATGTTACTCGTCTCGTTGTTGCAGCTGAGTACCTCTAACAAACAAAAACCGAGCTCTATGTGGTATTTCATGCACAGAAACATTTCCTCTTGTAAACACACTGAAGTAGCCAGCAAAAATGCAGCAAAATGCCATGTCGGGCCACCATTGACCCACGGGCCTTGAGTTTGACTCGAGCCTTAGAATATCTACTTCCATCGTGGTCTGTCTTAAGTGATCATGGTTGGATAAGAAAGTGGGACTGGAGATGAAATTTTCTAACTTAATTGAACATTATTTGGATGCTGACAAAGATACACATTTAAAAAGTACATATTTTAACACTGGATCTATCAGGAGTAGTATGTTCTTCCTCTTGGAGACCACTTTGGTAAACTTGCCTGAGCTGTTAATGCTCAGTGTCTATGTTTGGAATTACTCTCAGCTTCTGGCATACCAATATATACTGTATCTCAGTATCTGTAAAACTGATCAAGTCATGGGCATTTTAGTGTTTGCTAAGGTTGATTATCTGTGGTAGCTATCTTGAATCAGGTTGACCTCAAAGAACATCCATTTGATTACATCATCAAAGCCCATCCTGATTCATCAGATACTGTATTTTGCTAAAAGACAGACAAACAAGCAAACACAGGACACAACTTCTCATGGTGACACGTAAAAACTAAATTGTCTGTGGAGCAGATTTATGCTGTGTAATAACTGTAAAAATTGGAAAATGTTTACCCTACCATGAGGACAGATTGTCTAAAAGTGGATTGCAAACAGAGGTAGAACTGTGGAGGGATTAGCTGGATCTGAATATAACATTTCAACATAAATCAATTAAGTTCACACACTGAATTCCTGGATAAAGCTGCTCTCTAATCTTTTCTCTAAGCATAAGGAGCTTTCCATCAACACAGTAATTCTGCCCTCTGCCTGGTCCAGCAGCAGCAAGGGAAGGGAAAGAATATCACTGCAGCTTTTCCTCTTTTTTTATTATTCTGAAACAGGAAACATGCCACGTTGGCAATTCACTCACTCAGTCCTGTTATATAAGATTTATTATCTGCAAAAATGCAGTGTGAATGCTGAGCATTGATTGACTTGGCTGAAATTTGCTGAAAAAGCTCAAACTTGGTTGTCAAAGCTAAAAAAATAAGAAGAATGCTCAAAAGGAGCAAACAACTTACTTAATGTTTAACTTAACTTACTTAATAATAAGTTAAATGTAGAAAAATGCAAGCTAAATGCTAAAAGTACTAAAAGACAAGCTAACACTAGAGAGAAAAGAAAAGGCTGGCTAAAAGCTAAAGGTCGCAGAATGGAAAAGTAGCAGAAGAAGACAAAACATACAGATCTTATAATAAAATGAACTATTTTGAAAAGTATCAAAGTTACACAAACCAAAAGTCTGATGAACCTTTAAAAAATACTGCACACAATTTGCAGAAGTAGTTTGAAGAATAAAAATAGGAAAAACGGGGAAACAAGTGTCGAATCAGCTGGATCTGAAACCACTTTAAAGTTTCTGTCAAGTCTTTGTGGCATTGTCAGTGTTTGACATCAATTCACAACTTCCCACCTCGCTGGAGTTAAACTGCATCGCACAGCACACTCAGCTCAGAAACAYAGAGTCTTATCTGATGTCCTGTTCCTGCAGCTGAGGCAGTCCAATCTGTCCACTGCTGCTGAACTTTAATGTCTGACTCTGAGTTTCCTCTCTGGGGAAGCAGGTGTTGTGTCTAAATAAAAATAAAACACAGTTACACCACATATGGCTCCCTTGTGTCATTGCAGGTAGACATGAACTAGTGTCACCTGTCCTCATAGGAGAGGTGAGCTCCCACCCCTACCCCCACTCGACCATCTGGGCTCAGAGAGTGCAAGCAGAGGTCTACACAAACCCAGACCTCATTATTACACTCTTTACCTCTCTGGTTGAAGATTGATACAACAGGTTATCACTGAAGTGAAGCCACTTAAACAAGGATTTCAGGTTCCAAACTGTGTAGCAATAAAAAAAAATGGGTAAATCTTATTTGCAGAGGGAAAACAATTTCAGCACCAGAACAACTGCTGCAGTCTTCTTTKAACAGCCTAAAAGTTTAGTATCTAAACAATTCAACACGGTTCTCACTGACATATGAAAAGAAAAGGTGACTTATTAACATTGTTTATAGACTTTGACCAGTAACCATAAAGATCATGGGTCCCTGCAGCTCTCATTTTGTCACTTCAAGAACTGAATATTTTTGGAAATCACTGCTTTAAAGTATAAAAAGTGATAGGAGAAGATATAGGAAAAACATAAAAATCAGTTTGAGTTGTGAATCTGCCATATCATTAATTATTTTGGAAAATTGGCACTAATCTTTGGGAAAGTCTAAACTAAAAATACTTGTACTGACCATTGCTGTTGTTCCATTATGAGCAGGTGGCCAAAAAGTCCTGTTTTTATAAAACTTATTTCCAGAAGCAATGCAGGGATATGTTTTTTGGCAGTTTGTTTTTGAGATTTGTGACCAAAGATCCAAGATGGAATATGCTTTTTTTTAATAAATTTTTCCTGTAAAAGGAGGATGCATGTTGTGTTTTTCTTTGTTTCTATTAGGTCTCCTTAATCCTGCACCTTTTTCTGTATGCATCTGTTTCATTTTTTAAAAGATTTAGCTAAAGTTCATTTTAGTAATACAGTTATAAAATCTAAACTGTTCCGTCTAACTATCCAATTCTACACAGAGGACAGCTGACTTACTTTGTGTGGTGAGAGAGAGTCCACAGCAGAGTCTGTWTATTCATTGGTGACAACAAAGACAAAATATGTCTGAGTCAAGATCTCGGAGTCCAGGCTCACATTTTACTGCCCTGACTGGGCTGATAGGATGGAAACCAGAAAACTGTTTTGGAATAGTTCAGAAACGCTTTAAGCATGACCAGATCAGTGGCACTGATGTTTTATTTCAACATTTCCTGATCTGGTCCACCGGTTAGCTACCGATTTTCTACCCGACTGGGAAGATACAGCTGATGGATGGATATTTAGTTAGTCCGACTCACACACAATTTAACTGTAAAAAGTTCCAAAAGCATTCTGGCGGGCAGCTTTAGTCCACAAACACCACAGATATCTTCTCTACTTACGTCCCAAGGACTTCTTTGAAGTCATAATGTTCTTTGATGTCCGATGTCTTCTTTTTCCATCCGTTTCCATCCTCTCCAAGAGGCATCCTACAATGCTGATCGGACTCGCCACACTACAGCTGCACAAWGGAACAGGGTCAAAGTCTGGAGTTATATTTCTAAACTGAATTTAGTGATTTTTCAACCATTTAAATGAATATGTCAATTAGAATGTGAAATATATTAAATATTTGAAAGAAAATTACATCCCACTGCTGAAGTGTTTGAGGGCTTGGACTGCAAAAAGTCATTAATCTGAAGCCAGACGGCTGCACATCTGCTGTTGGTTTAGAGCATGAGTGTCTAAACCTGGTTCTCAAAGGTCACTATCCTGCATGTTTTACTAGTCTCCTTGCCTAATTCAGTGACTGAATCACCTTTTTAAGTTCTGCAGATGCCTAATTATCACTCATTCGTGCAAATTGTTGGAGCAGAGAAACATTTAAAACATGCAGGAGTGGCCCTCGATTGGCACCTTTTGACATTTCTTCATTGCTTTTGGATTTCCCCTCAACAATAAACAATATAGGTATTTGCTCATGATTCATTGTTATTGAACAAATKAATTAGTGAAAAGATGCTGGGTTGAAAATGATGAGACAGATCAGGATAAAAAAAATAGTCCCACACTCATTTTGTGACCTCATAAAAAAGTGGCACACAATAACTAGACCTCTCTGACAGCCGCTTTGAATCAATAAATACCAACCAATTACAGCTTCAAAGTAAAGCGAGCCAACAGCAGGCGGCAAAAAAGAAGGAAAAAAAAGAAAGAAACGAAAACCTAAACGCATGGTCAGTGGAGGCAGAGGAGGGATGAGAGGGGGCTTGTGCTATATTTAACATCTGAAGCTGCTAACAATTAGAATGCCTTAAAGAGAATATTAGAATAAAATAAATTTGAATAGGTCTGGTCAAGTGGAAACTGAATTCCTYTGAGTGTCGTTTGACAACCTGCTCTGCATTCAGGCAGCAGGGCGTGAATGACAAGCAGGAGTGGAAATAAAACTGCTTCTCTGCACCAAATATTAAAACATGCCTTTTGCTTTTCCAAGTCCTGAAATGTTCGTCTGTCAGAAAGAACAGGCAGTGTGTTTGTGCAGACTGTGCTGCACCGCTCAGGGGTATGGCAGTCAAATGTATGCCGCATCTTTAGGTTCAATCTGGAGGCTGCGGATGAGGATGAGGATGAGGATGGGAGCGCACTGGAGGGGGAAAGCCGCACTTTTTTCTCTCCTTTTTTTTCCTCAAAGGGAAAGTCTGGTGTGATTAGATCGAGATAAAGTGAAAAGGAACRTACCTAAATGGCGATCTGTGGCTGTGCGGTGCTCTGTTTCCCTCTGGGTGAGATGTGGTCGCTGAGCTCGTGCGCAGCGCTGGATGCGCTCCTGACGTCAAGAAAGCCAGACGTGTCTGCGGACGTGCTGTTCCTTAAAACCCCGAGCTGCGATGTTTTCCCCCTTCGCTTCTCCCTTTTCCGTCGAGCTGAGATGGGAGGTGGTTTTTGTTCTTCTCGGACATCTGCTCTTTTTTTTTTTTTTTTTTTTTTTTTGTCCCTGTGATCTGGCGCAGGTCTGTGCGCAGGTTCTGCACACAGTTTTAAGGCGGGTTTTTAAAACAGGCACATCAAGGATGCAGCAGGCTTCAGGAGCAACCTGGGAACAGCTGAGGGCTTTCCTTGCACTGATTAGCCTAATATGTCCCAGAAGGTTTGGTGTGTTTCCGACCAGAAAAGAAGAAAATAAACAAGTTTTTTTTCTTCCACACAAATCTGGTAACGCCCGTTTCCCCAAATAGCTACTGTAGCCTATTCCTGTTCTGTGTATTGCCAAAGAACACAATGTCACTTTTTAAAAAACCATATTTAAAGCTGAAATTGTTTTGTGTTTTCTATTTCAAACAAAATGTCAAAACAGAAACAAATAATAGAGAAACAAACAGCTCACGATCAGTGTTATAATTG